AAGCTCTAAGAACGATTATGTAAGGCCGGGCTCGACCTCTATGAGTTAGCCCATTTCTTTGCCGCCTCTTGACCCCGAAAAGAATCCGGGTCTCTGGCTATGGCCTGCTTCATTGTAGTTGATCTACAGGGCCCCCTTCTGGACGCCCTGGACAATTATTTATAAGTCGTTCATCTACCATAGCATGGTGTGGAATAGGTTCCCGTAGCATCTAGCGACGCAGTACGAAGTGAAGTATTGAAAGGGAACGTACTCGGTTACTAATGTAACCTCGGTTCCCTGAGATACGGGAACGAGTACTGCGTAGCTAACCGTGCCATGATGCTGCACGACTCTGTCGTCGCTTCAGTCGATATGAATCAGTGATCCTATGCCGAGCACCTGCTTATATAGCCAGATGCCCCGCCCATTTTGGCGGGCTCGGGCGCGCTGCTTCGCCATAGGCTCGCGCAGCTTTGTTGCGCCGTCATTGGTTCATTTCTGAAACAATAGCAGTGCAGATACGGGATACTGAGATACGGGACTTCCATTCTTACAGCACCCACTAGCGACACAGTACTCGTTCCCGTATCTCAGGGAACCGAGGTTACATTAGTAACCGAGTACGTTTTTTTCTGACACGGATATTGGATTGCTTCTCTATCCAGCATGCATTGCTTAAACGGTTTTATGCAACTATGCAAGCACAAATCAACTCAATTTGTGACTCACAAAAGGCCTATTAACCTCAACAGCTGTGCATGGAAAATGAAATTGGCCTGAAACCTGTCATCATGACACAAAAAGCTGTCTGCGAGTCTGCAGCTCTCCCTAGTGGAAGTTTCTTATAATAATATCACAGCTTTCTTTGTTGAAACAGGTCAACATTTGTCCAGCATTCATGATAGTTTACCTAAAGCCAACAGACAGACAAACAAGCACAATTGCCTATTGTTACACAACAAAGATTCAATCCGATGAGAAAATGAATCCATGAAGAATCAGCTCTCAATTAAACGAGTCTGATTACAAAGAGCAATAAACTTAAATATTTGGTGACGAAAATAAAATAAAGATGAAACCTCATAAAAGAAATAAAAATACCCGGATCAAATAAGGAGGAGTAGCCTATAAAAATAAGATATTTTATCGCGTGTAGTGTGCAATATTATGTATATCATCCAATAAAAACAAATGACATCTGCATGTTTTGTTTACAGTAAATCATGTGCATTTGTTCTTTAAATAAATAATGAATCACATATTTTAGATATTTCTTTTGTTCACCTATTTATTATATATTTTAAAGTTGGTTACTACTTAGTGTGTTCATTTGAGGAAGAAGATGCTTAACTTCAAATATATATGATGCCATAAATGACATCTGCTGTCTGTCACAATATTTACCCGGATGGCGGTAGCGAATATATTTAACTAGGCTACTCATAACTAACGTCACAAAAGCAACGTTGACACAACCTATTTAATATTCATTAACTGCCAATTCGCCATTGGAAGTGACTTCAGCATAATCTAATTAATATTTATAATCACATCGAGGAAACGTCTGCATGGCCTAATTAATATTCATGAGCCAAACCCTCGTTCACTGTAGCAGGATTCGTAATTTCCCAAAGCGGCAGGCTTGAGCTCGGCTGTGTGAGAAGCACTCAGAAACACAGCCCTACATCGCATCAAAAGATGAAAATGTAGACATGTATCAGAAGATGCGCACATTGGAGACACAACACACCATCGACTGATGACGATGGAAGACGGACTGGTGTCTGAAGACGATATTTGTGAGTGTTAAAATACTGAAAAGAAAAAATAGTCACAGTGTTGTAGTGCGGTACGGACACTAACTAGGGCAAGTGAGAGAAATAAGCTTATATTCAATGGCTATTAATGGCTCACTGTATTATGTGGCTTATAAAACTAACTGTGGCTAATAAATAGTTATTAATAAAAATGGTAAGACTAAAGAGACTTGTTTACTAAGGCTTTGTTGGATTCTTGAACCTATTTACAGACGAAAATGTATTGGTGTGATCATTGATCCTGCTGATTTTGTAATTTTATACATTTTTAAATTGTGGGTCATAGCTTAATTATGTGCAAAATTAGGATATAATCTAAAACCTCATTTGAAATGATCTCTAAAAAGTGATGAGAAACATTAGATATGAGTACTGCTGATGCATGTGGACCATCATGGATCATGCTCATGTTTGTACCTGTATATACACACCACACTGTATAGAACTCCTGTCACCTTCCACTCTTATTTCACACCAGTGCTTCGCTCAGAGAAGGAGTTTCATGATGCTGCAAAGAGGAACGACACGGAGAGAATGCAGGAGCTCATCAGAAGAGGGGTGGACATCAAAGTCAAAAATAAGGTGAGATATAACCAATACAGAAACATATGAACAGTGCAAATCTACATGCAAGGAATGGATTATGCGCAATATACTAGACAGTCTAAAGCAGTCTTTCTAGTAAAATATGCCCTTGGAATGGTTTAAAATGGGCTCCTTGACCAGATTTGACTAAAATAAGATGTAATAATAAATATTCATTTAAATAAGCAAATAAACTATGATGTACACTTCTAAACATGGTGGCACGGTAAAGAAAGCCGAGCAGAGCATGCTGAATGTACAGGAAGCCGTGTTGCCATCCACCATGCCAATTTCTCCGCCTGGAATGTTTTGTTTTTCCCAGTTATGCACCAGAGTGACGGAAACACGCATGTTGTGGTCGTCAGCACAGGATATGACCTTTGTTTTACCCTAGACAACAGTATTTATCATCTAAAACCATGGCAAATACAATGGCTCTTGAGTCAGTGTGGATGTTTCCTTTTTTCATGTGATTCTGGTTTTACAGATGGACCGTAAGGCCTTGCACTGGGCAGCAGGAGCCGGCAGTGAGCAGGCAGTGCGTCTGCTGCTGGACCACGACATGGAGGTGGATGATATGGACAGCGTACGTGTCAAATGCATTTTGGTTGAGCGCTGCGACACTGTGTGCATGAACAGGTTCCAATTTAGTTGCATTTTAGGCTGAATATTTTATGTTCCGTGTTTATTTACTGTATAAGCACAAATAAGTGAAATACTGCTCCACTGAATAAATCTTTAATGGGATGCTGTTCGTTCACCATGTGGCCTGTAAATGACTGAAGGCTATGAGCTTGTTACACCAACAATGATTGAAGAGACAAAGAGTGGCCCTGAAATGCAAGGCAGAACTTTTTTAGATAATTGAGTAATTGACTAATATGTGCCTGGGGATTTTTTTTTTTATGAAAAAATATAATGATTAAGTTTTAGATTTAAATTTATATAGACATATAAGTAAAAGTGTATTTTTTTATGTTGTATGTTGTAACTGGTCATCATTTTTGTATCCTCTTTTTTTTTGCAGTTGACATAAATACTCCTACCATGTGACAATAATTTTTTTTATAGTAAATATTTTTTCATATGCTAAAAGCTGAATGCATAATATTTAAATGATTTAAAATTATATATACAGAAAATCTTTAAAAAAAAAAAACTTTTAAAATAAAAATATTATTTTTGGTTTTGGTATATTACTGGATGTCAAAGAATTTTAGTGTCATTACATTCCACATGCCTTTGGTAAAAAAAAATGTGCGCGCACACTTTTCACACTGACCGCAAAGAGTGGTCCATGAAATGCAAGGGATAATTAAAACATAAAAATTTTATGTAAGATTAAAGTTCATGATAATGTGTAAGTGTAAGTGAAAGATACTCTAAATGGTCAACATTTTTTGATCACATTTTTGTTTCTGCAGTTCATATAAATGGTGCTCTGAAGTGCCTTTCATTTTTGAAATACAAATTTTCCGTGTAGTCCCTCAAGTAGTATTGTGGGCATAATTATCTTAATTATAACACATGCCGTTTTATTTTATTTTAAATTAAAATAATATTAAAACATGCTATTTATAAATATTTTGATGAAGTATAGCTTGTCTCACTATGTCATTCCATATGCATTTGGTGAAAAAAGTCAATTTAGCTCCATTATTAAAATTTTTACATTTATGCATTTGGTGGACACTTTTAAGTGACTCACAGCAATACATTCAAGCAAGCAATACATTTGACCAGAATGTTTATTCCCTGGGAATCAAACCCATGTCCTTAACCTTGCTAGTAGAAGTTTCTACACATGCATTGCTGTTCACGAGCCACTGGTAAACTCATAACTGGAATGCGATTGTTAATCATGTAATTAAGGAAGTGACACTTTAGGCTAATACTGTTTTTCAAAAGTTGTTTGACTCTGTGTATATGTATATTCTTTTGTTTTCCAGTTCGGTATGAACGCTCTGCTCTTGGCGGCATGGTTTGGTCACCTCTCAATCCTGAAGATCCTTGTCTCAACGGGGGCGAAGCTCACCTGTGAAAACAAAGTAAGACTCTATTGGCAGAAATCATTGTCATGTTTCAGATATCTTTTATCTGAGCACTCGATGTGCTCCGCTCTCTCATGGTTGACTGTGCTCTTGACGAATAGCGTTCTGAAGCCGTTCTTTAAAGACCACTAACCAATACAAATGAGATTGATGTGTGTACTGGCCTACATTCAGGTTTCAACATTCATTTCAATGCGTCTCACTTGTCTCTTTTTTTTCTTTCAGAATGGCTTGAATCTCTTGCACTGTGCTGTACAGAGGGGTCACATCAGTATTTTGGAGTATATTATGGAAGATCTGGAAAACGTGCAGCTTAATAAAGTCGACAAGGTGAGAATCTCATGTTTTGCCACAGTGCCCATGATCTTGAAGTGTAATGTCTTTTAATTGTACCCTCAGTTCCCTGCTAAAAACTAGAGCCCAGACAAAGTTTAGAGACAGAATGGGTTTTGTTTTCCAATGTATTGTATCTACAAGAACATCTTAAGGGGCTTTTACACTAGTTGATACAAATATGTAAGATCAGCTTTGAAGGTGAAGAAGGTGGTCAGTTTTACAGAATTTGTTTAAGGTTATGTTTGCTTACATTTTGATCACATGACATTTTGATCATCACTTTCCAAAAAATGTTTTGGGTTTTCTTCCACATACTGTATTTGCTGACGCTTAAAAAAAAGAAAGAAAAGATTTGCAACATTCTGTCATAAATGTTGTAAGTCTTTTGAGGCTCAGTTTTATGCACTGATTCAAAATAGAAAGTAAGAGTAGAAAGTAGAAGATAGGTGTTTCCATCAGAGAGACTGATAACGACTGTGTTGATTGCACAGTGTTCATGCAAATACCAGTTAAACATTTTCAAGGAACGGCTTTAAGGAAGGAATTGTCCTGAGTTTTGTTGACTTAAAAAGCAGGCAGTGAACAGGAGCTGTCAAGCATCGGAAAGGACAAATAGTTTCATGAAATTCAAATGTAATTTGTAAACAGTAGGCCAGGTCAAAATTTTGTCCATGAAGAGTTTATTGGATCATTTGTTTGTGTGGATTGATTTGCTAATATGATTTTTCTCTGCCTTGGTTAGAAATTCAATTCAGAGGTGAAGAAAATAAATGAATCATGCACAGTCAGTATGATTTTTTTTTACCAGATGTCGGTAACAACACAAGTAATTCATACAAAGAAAACAAAACGAATAAGTTCAGAAATTAAGTTATATGTGATAAAATTGAATGACCCAGGGAAAAAGTATTGAACACGTGAAGAAAGGGAGGTGCAAAAAGGCATGGAAAGCCATCAGTGTAATCAGTGATTAGAAAGCAATCCTGCCCCTAGTCAGAGGAAATTAATATTAGCTGCTTCAGTCCCAACACCTACAGTACCAGGATGATGAAGATGAAACAAGGGTGGACGTTTCAGCAAGACGATGATCCCAAACACAGCCAAGGAAACTCTCAATTGGTTTCAGAGAAAGAAAATAAAGCTGCTAGAATGGCCCAACCAATCACCTGACTTGAATCCAATAGAAAATAAGAACTGAAGATCAGAGTTCATAGAAGAGGCCCACAGAACCTTTAAGATTTGAAGACTGTTTGTGTGGAAGAATGGGCCAAAATCACACCTGAGCAATGCATGCGACTAGTTTCTCCATACAGGAGGCATCTTGAAGCTGTCATTATCAACAAAGGCTTTTGTACTATTAAATACATTTCAGTAGTGCAATACTTTTCCCCTGCGTCATTCCATTTTATTACACATAACTTAATTTCTTAACTTATTTGTGACCCTGGACCACAAAACCAGTCATAAGGGTCAATTTTTTGAAATTAAGATTTATACATCATCTGAAAACTGAATAAGTAAGCTTTCCAAATGTATGTTTTTTTTGTGATAGGGCAATATTTGGCTGAGATAAACTATTTGGAAATCTGGAATCTGAGGGTGCAAAAAAATAAAAATACTGAGAAAATCACCTTTAAAGTTGTCCAAATGAAGTTCTTAGCAATGCATATTAAGTTTTGATATATTTACGGTAGGAAATTTACAAAATATCTTCATGGATCATGATCTTTACTTAATATCCTAATGATTTTTGGCATAAAAGAAAAATCGATAATTTTGACCCATACAATATTTTTTTAGCTATTGCTAAAAATATACCTCAGCGACTTAAGACTGCTTTTGTGGTCCAGGGTCACATTTGTTTTGTTTTCATTGTATGTATGAATTACTTGGTTTGTTTCCGGCATCTGGTGAAAATTTCATGTCGTCAGCACCTTTAGAAATATATTTACTGGGAAAAATGGTGACGTGTTCAATACTTATTTTATTAAACCCGCTGTATTATGAATATCAACAGGGTCAATTTTGATGTCTTGTTGACTTTAAGTTTTTCCAGTTGTTGTGAATTGTGCTACTCATTACACATGAGCTTATGAGATTTATGCCCCGTTAGGTGTTCTGCAAAGTAGATCAATAATACGAATATCACACAATCAGTGTTCTCGAGTAGTTTCATTGAGCTTTGTTAAAACATCCCTGCTGAAAAAAGCAATAGAAACCATCAGAGAATTTGTAATGGTTTTACTAGTTATAATGGGAATTGTATTGGTTTTCATGGAAACTGTAATGGACCCTGTTGGTCTCTACTGGTAATAGGTTGCCTTCTATTGGTGACTTGTTAAAATCACTAAATCTTAAAGGTGACATATCATGAAAATCTGACTTTTCCAGATTTTAAGTACTATAATAAGGTCCCCGGTGCATCTACCAACCAAGGAAACGTGAAAAAGATTAACCCAGTAACTTTGCTTTGGTAAGCCTTTTTTCTGCAAGTGTCTGAAAAAACGATCACGTCTGATTTCGCTCTCTTGGTGACGTTACAAAGGGATCTCATTATAATATTACCTCCCTTTAATCTGTAAATTTCCACCCACGGCACCCTCATTTTGATTTTGCAAGCAACAAAGGTGTACCAGTTCTAATGTCATGGCGAAAGTTTGACCAAAACATGCTAACTGTTCTGTCATTGGCTGCACAGAGAGCACAGAACACTATTTAAAGTCCCTGCCTCAGAAGAGACAACAGAGCAGTGGATTTATTGATTTATTTAATGTATATTGCTGCTGCCACACAGATAAAAAAAACATGCAATTTATTTCTCAGCTGTTTACCTTCACAGACATAACCGACTGTTTTTGTAACTCGTGTGTTTTTAACGTAAACTTGTGTGTGAATGAGAACTTAGTTTAGTACTCGCATGCTGTGACAGCCGCTTTCTGTCCGTGTGCTTCAGATGTGTGCACTCAGAAAACTCAGATATTTCAGAAGTTTAAACTAATATGGTTTAAAACGCATGATTTCAGTGCGATAAACATGATAATCAGAAACAAAAAAGATGTTTTAGCAGGTACGAGCTGTAAAGGCGCAGCTCTTTTCTGGAAAAGGGGGCGGGGAGCAGCAGCTCATTTGCATTTAAAGAGACAGGCACGAAAAACAGCGTGTTTCTGCTTCCACTCAAAATAGCCATTTTCAAAATTATATAATAAATTATCTGTGGGGTATTTTGAGCTGAAACTTCACAGACACATTCTGGGGACAACAGAGACTTATATTACATACTGTAAAAAAGTGGCATAATATGTCTCCTTTAATGGAACATGTACCAAAACACACTACAGCAAACAATTTTTCAATGGTTTTAATGGTTAAAAGTTTGGTTTGGTTTGTTTGTAATGGTATTTGTAGTGGAAACCATCAGAATTTCTGTGATGGTTTCTATTGTTTGTTTGTTTTTTCAGCAGGGATGTTTTATTACCCATTGAAATAATAACAGATGAAGCAAAGCTATAAAACTTTTATAGAAACTACACCTTTCCATTACACAAAATGCTCGTTATAATGGAAGTAGGTTCTTTAGATTATTAAAATATTCTTAACATTAAGAGATTATTTTAAGAACTGTCCAAAAAATGGTTCTTCTATTGCATTGCTATGAAACCACCCTGTGGTAACCTTTATTTTAAAGAGTAGTACTGTACATTATGTCCTTTCTAACGTGTGTCCATCTGCTGTGTCAGTCCGGTAAGACAGCGTTTCATTTGGCCGCGGAGCATGGACACCTGGAGGTGGTGGATTTTCTCATTGGTATGGGCTGTGCTCATGACCTCAAGGACAAGGTGAGGGACAGCAAGAGTCACGGGTGCACAGACGCTCCTCAGTGTGAGCTAATTAGATTTTCTCTACTACTAGATGTAAAATGCCAAAGTAGAGGGCAAAGCGAGCCAAAGTTTTCAGAATAACGTTTCTACATTCAGAAGAACTTGTCAATGTGATCCAAATAAAAACTTTAGACTTGAGTGGTGTGGCACTGAATTTTTATTTTAATCAGTGTTTGCTGACATCAAATGTGCCATGTGAGGTTAAACAAAAAAAATCTAAATTGCAACATGATAATATAAGATACCTTATCTCTAATTCACTATGGCAATGGCATGCCCATTGAAAATATGATATTTATATAAGAAGAAAAGATGTGCAGAATGGTTCCAAAGAAATTGTCAAAATAGAAAACAAATCAACTACAAATGTATAAATCTGACCTAACTACAAAAGAAAAAGAGAAACTAAACATATTCCGCATGCTACAGTAGATGCATCACCTGCCCTACTTTGGTTAGTTAAACTAACCAAAACAAAAACATACAAAGAATGGGAAAACATTGGCAATAACGAAAGGAAAAAGAAATGATAAACATTGATGCAGCACTAATATGATGTTCATGAACTGCAGGAGGAAAACACTGCACTGCATTTGGCAGCTAAGCAAGGCCACAGTGACGTCCTACAGAAGATCATGGAAACCGGGGAGAGCATTGATGAAAAAAACATTGTAAGTAGATCCCGTTTTTTTGTGCATTTATAAGAGTTTCTTTTGGTTTTGGTATTATTTGCTTCACATTGTGATCTTTTATCAGGATGGCATGACGGCTTTACATTTGGCAGCTGAAGGAGGGCATTACGAATGTATCAGACTCTTGCTGGAGGCTGGCTGCAATGTTAATGAACTTACTCATGTGAGGACATTGTTTTATACTATCATCAGTCTGTATAATAAGTTAACTAATGCGGGTTTCAACTTTCAGTACAAGTCAAAGCACACCGTAAAGTGTTTCTTCTTATAGAGTAACAGGACAGCTCTTCATCTGGTGGCCCTGCATGGCTCAGGAAGAGAGATCAAACTGCTGGTACAGGCTGGGATCAATCTGGATTCAGTAGACACAGTGAGTACTAAAACCCCCAGCTTAGTTGCTTTTGTAGAACAGGAGAGAATTTTAGGGGGAAAATTCACTATGGCAATGGCATGCCCATTGAAAACAACTAATTTGCTGGATTCTCTGTTAGCGGTGTCTAATAATAATGCTCTGCATAACAGATATGCACAGTATAGGTACAAGCAGGGCCGTCCTTAGCTGACGCAGGTCACGTTCCGGGGGGGGCCTAAGGACAGCACTGGGTACAAGGCCATCTTGATTATGTTACAGACATGTTTAAGACATAATATTATACAGAAGTTTTACTGCATTATTCAGCTGTTTTTTCCTTTAAGAGCATGACAAAACACTATTTGGGACAAGTATTTTGTGGATTTATTCCTGTCCAATTGTCAGTGTTAAAGGCAACATTGTGGGGAGTGTTACGTTTCATTATTTTGCTAAAATTATGGGAATGTTATTTTGAATGTTCTATAAACCATCTTAGATTTGTATCCAGCTGAAACGTTTCAGAAAAAAGTTCCATAAAAATTTTTTATTAGACATTATTATTATTAGACATTTTGAGTGAACATTCTATTAACGTTACTTGTTCATAAACTGTTAGAACCTTGCCAGAATGTGAGCTAAAGTTCTGAGAACATTCTCTGTTAGCTGGGTAGCAAATACACATGCATGCACACATCTAAGGCCACATCCAGACAACATTAACAGAAACAACAGTTTTCTTTCTCTTAAAGAAAGAAAAGTACACGGATGAAAGAATTAATTTGAGTAAGATCACAATGTGGAGTGCATAACTTGGGCACATTTGACAATTTACCTGATTTGCGAGTCAGGAGCTAAAACATCAGAAACTGTACAATTTTAAGTTTTACAATTCAGAATATCCAAAGTATTTACAGACATTTTTCCTTACCAGCAACATACTTCAGCTCTGCACTTGGCAGTACTCAACAACTCCACAGGAATAGTCAAGGATCTTGTCGATGCGGGATGCGACCTGGACATCTTTGACAATGTGAGTGTTTCACATTTATGATTTCACAGATTAAGGAAATGGTTTCTTCACTCATTCATCAACAATTGTTCCTCGCAGCGGCTTCAAACTGCTTTGCACATAGCAGCAGAACACGGACGGCAGAACATCGCTGAGATGATCCTGATATCTGGAGTTAACCTCAATCTGCTCGACAAGGTGCAAATTACTGTTGTCGTACTTGAGTGTGGTTGATACATTTTCATATTGTAATACACTTGTGATCAAACAGTTGAACAAAAGATATTTACAGCAGGGAAAGACATCGCTGGATGTTGCAGCACGAGGCAACCATGTGAATGTCATTGACATGATTATCAAAGCTGACAGATTTTACAGATGGGAGAAGGTACGTTCAGTGTATATTAAGCTTAAATTAATTGATTCCGATATCATTTGAATATGGAAGATTTTAAATGTGTTCATTTGCTTTCTAGGAAAATGTGACGAGTGACTCTGACTCTCTGGTGGGAACGAGTCTTACCTTTAAGCAAGATCATCGACAGGAGACACAACATATCCGATCTGTCCTGTGGAAACTTGCCTCCAAATATCTCAAACCAGGCGAGTGGAAAACACTGGCTCGGCACTGGAAGTTCTCAGATGCACATATTCGAGCCATAGAGCACCAATGGACAGGTACGTCATTTAACGTAATCTGCTGAGTGCATCTTTAAAAAAAAAAAAAAAGTATATATATATATCAAAAACAGCTAACTCCGTTTTTAACAATTTTTTAAAATCATGTGTTTTCATTGTGCGTTCCAGTTAATCTCAATCAAACTGCAGTTGGGTTATTTTGATTAGGTTAAAAAATAAAAATAACTAAAAAACACAGCTAACTAACACGATAAAAAACAATAAAAATATAACATCATAAAAAAACATGATTTTTGACAAATGTAAATAACGTTTAATAATGTTTTTGCAAATAAACTCTTCATATATATCAAAGAATCCTAAAAATGCTTCATGGTTTTTACAATATATTAAGCAGCACAACTCTCTTCAATATTGATAATCATAAATGTTTCTGGAATATCAAATCAGTATATTAGAATGATTTCTGAAGGATCATGTGACACTGTGAAGACTGGAGTAAAGATGCGGAAAATTCAGCTTTGCGTCACAGAAATAAATTACATTTTAAAATATATTCAAATAGAAAACTGTTATTTTAAATTGTAATATTTTACAATATTACTGTTTTAATGTATTTCTAAAAAATAAATAAAAAATGACTGACTCCAAACTTTTGAACGCTACGATTTTTTAGTTAGAATATGATTTAAATTAAAAGCAAAATTGTATTCTATGTAACCCCTTAAAATGTAATGATTATAAATGGGGAAATACAAATGGCTTTATTTTATTAGAAGTAAATAACTTTTCTTAATGGGGCTACAAATGCTTTCCTGAAAATGCCAAAAATCCTAATGTCAAAATATGCACAAAAATACAAAACGTCTGAATATACGAGGTCTGGAAATAGACATTTCTCTGACGTTTTCTGAAGACATGCTGTTTTTATTACACTAAGGAAAATAGGTTCATTACATGAGCCAGTAAACATAGTAATTAGTGTAAAGCAGTCTGCTTAACTTTGAATTCTAAATCAGAAAACAACACCTCTAAGAGCCCTTGTATTCCTCAGCACTATTACTCAAACAGTTAGACTAGCCTTCAATTTGCACCATTTTCCCAAATGTAGTGCATAGTTCTCACAGGGCAGCCCCAGTGTGTTCAGTGTGATAAGATATCTGTCATAGTGATGCCAAGCTCTGAACTTTAAAAGGTACAAAGAGCTACAAGGAGCACGGGCATAGGATGCTGCTCATCTGGCTGCACGGAGTGATCACCGCTGGAGAAAACCCCATCAAGGGCTTGTACGAAGGTCTGACTGGAATCTCAATGACTGATTTGGCAGGTGAATTCAGCATTACACTTCATATGTGTATAAGATCTGTTTCTAAACCTACTGTGATGCCTATCTAGACAGAATTTTTATGCATCACATGTGCATTTCAGACTCAAAGGCAGCAACATGAAAATCTTGTTGGCAGAATTGCATGTGTCTTTTTTGAAAGGCAATTCCAGAATGCATTGTAGTGAATTTGTATGCAAATTCAATTTTAAAATTCTAATTAGGTTATTATTCTGGCCAAGAACCGATGACTTTACATGTCTATCTTTTCATGTACAGTGGGGCAAAAAAGTATTTAGTCAGCCACCAATTGTGCAAGTTCTCCCACTTAAAAAGATGAGAGAGGCCTGTAATTTTCATCATAGGTATACCTCAACTACGAGAGACAAAATGAGAAAAAAAATCCAGAAAATCACATTGTAGGATTTTTAAAGAATTAATTGGTAAATTCCTCGGTAAAATAAGTATTTGGTCACCTACAAACAAGCTAGATTTCTGGCTCTCACAGACCTGTAACTTCTTCTTTAAGAGGCTCCTCTGTCCTCCACTCGTTACCTGTATTAATGGCATCTGTTTGAACTTGTTATCAGTGTAAAAGACACCTGTCCACAACCTCAAACAGTCACACTCCAAACTCCACCATGGCCAAGACCAAAGAGCTGTCAGAGGACACCATAAACAAAATTGTAGACCTGAAGAAATCAACTGTGGGAGCACTTATTAGAAAATGGAAGACATACAAGATCACTGATAATCTCCCTCGATCTGGGGCTCCACGCAAGATCTCACCTCGTGGGGTCAAAATGATCACAAGAACTGTGAGCAAAAATCCCAGAACCACACGGGGGGACCTAGTGAATGACCTGCAGAGAGCTGGGACCAAAGTAACAAAGGCTACCATCAGTAACACACTGCGCCGCCAGGGACTCAAATCCTGCAGTGCTAGACGTGTCCCCCTGCTTAAGCCAGTACATGTCCAGGCTTGTCTGAAGTTTGCTAGAGAGCATTTGGATGATCCAGAAGAGGATTGGAGAATGTCATATGGTCAGATGAAACCAAAATAGAACTTTTTGGTAAAAACTCAACTTGTCGTGTTTGGAGGAGAAAGAATGCTGAGTTGCATCCAAAGAACACCATACCTACTGTGAAGCATGGGGGTGGAAACATCATGCTTTGGGGTTGTTTTTCTGCAAAGGGACCAGGACGACTGATCCGTGTAAACTAAAGAATGAATGGGGCCATGTATCGTGAGATTTTGAGTGAAAACCTCCTTCTATCAGCAAGGGCATTGAAGATGAAACGTGTCTGGGTCTTTCAGCATGACAATGATCCCAAACACATCGCCCGGGCAACGAAGGAGTGGCTTCGTAAGAAGTATTTCAAGGTCCTGGAGTGGCCTAGCCAGTCTCCAGATCTCAACCCCTTAGAAAATCTTTGGAGGGAGTTGAAAATCCATGTTGCCCAGCGACAGCTCCAAAACATTACTGCTCTAGAGAAGATCTGCATGGAGGAATGGGCCAAAACACCAGCAACAGTGTGTGAAAACCTTGTGAAGACTTACAGAAAACGTTTGACCTCTGTCATTGCCAACAAAGGGTATATCACAAAGTATTGAGATTAAATTTTGTTATTGACCAAATACTTATTTTCCACCATAATTTGCAAATAAATTCTTTAAAAATCCTACAATGTGATTTTCTGGATTTTTTTTCTCATTTTGTCTCTCATAGTTGAGGTATACCTATGATGAAAATTACAGGCCTCTCTCATCTTTTTAAGTGGGAGAACTTGCACAGTTGGTGGCTGACTAAATACTTTTTTTCCCCACTGTATGTGACCAACTAAAGTTTTGCATGCCATTTTGACTAGGATTATGCCTTAGATGATTGTAAGCAGCAAGAAAACTTTCTGGGTTTCGGATCAGAGCTATTGAGTATATATTTTTTTTATAGTTTCACGGTCTACAACCTTGCTTTACCTTCCCTCTTTTATAACTTTTTTTTTTCTTCCAAACAGAAAGCATGCGACAGCAGGCAAATGCGGATCCGTCTTCTGCTAAAAAATGCTCTACAATGTAATGTGAGATTTATTGAGAAAGGTCTAGACTGAGCACGTACCAACCAGGAGATTGGATGCTCTTCAAATACACAGCACTGACAAAACACAAATACTCCCTCAAATATAACCTCAGTGATGTGACTGAGAAGAAAACTTAGCCTGTTCACACCCAGAGCAAATATTTACAGCAAACATGACTTTGGATTGAAATGATGTGTTTCTGTGGAACCATTCATATTGAGAAAATATGACACTTTTTTTTGGAGAACAGGTAGATTTCTCTCTCTCTCGCTCTCTCTCTCTGTCGAAAAACATGCCAAGCAATAACATTATTGGTCATGCTGAATTTCACTTTTCACATTTAATTTTTACAGTTATGCATGTATTTCTGTCCTATTTATTTGTAGTTGCAGCTTTTCTGCTGTAATTGTTATTTTTAAGACTAGAAACAAAAACAATACTAATACAGCTGCATAGCTCAGGATACTGGGTTTAAATGTGTGTGATCATCCTGTTCATTATAGGATTTGCAAGACTGAAAGGCCCGAAACTTTTTTTGTATGTGCAAATATTCTTATATGAACACGGGACAAAAGAGTGAAGAAGGTGGAATGAAATTAAGAGAATAAACCACTGTAGTATTTTATGCAGATTAGGGCTGGGTTGACATCAAGTTCTCTCTTCTTTTTTTTTTGTAGTAGTAAATCCCAACAAGCTTTGTTACTTTTGATATAAAACAAAGTCTTGGCTTTAAAATTCTGTAACTTTTTTTTTAGGAAATTCAAACAATAAATACAGTTTTGGCGCTTTTTAATGAAGTGTGACATATGGCTGTAGCACCTCATTTCGAGCGCACGTGAACCAAACATATTTTCCCCTTTACTACTAGTTATTGTATGAAATAAACATGAATGAACATCGGAAGTTGTTGAAAATGTCTCATGCAAGTGCTCAATCAGTTTTCAGCTGCGGAAAGAACAGCTTGTTAACGATGTCACATAACGTTTACCTCAGAAAAGCCATTCAATGCCCACAGCTGGACAATTAGCTATAAATATTTTGGTAAATAAATATAATTTTGGTGAATATATGCACTGTTACATATTTATTATATTTTTTACTTAACCTGTTCTCCGATATTTGAATAAATCCATCATCAAAACACGTTTATATGACAGCCACCATTTAAATGTTTATATTTAAAAAATGAATTGGAGCATAGTTATATCATTAAGTATAGGCTTAGTATATCTTCTTCCCTTTACAGTTTACAGCATTAGTTGAGATTTCTTTACTTGAGAAAAACTGACATGTTTTGTACCTGATACGTATCCAAATGAATCAGTATTGAATCGAGATCGGAACTGAATCGAATCACACGCTTGAGAATCAAAATTTGTGTCAACCCAGTTTTTATGCAAACATTCTGAATATATTCAGCCTGCCTAAGCAAGAGATGTGTAAATGTTGGTTGTGATGTTAAAGATGCCTGAAAAATGCGTAGGCTGTAACTGAAACTGTACTTGTTTGATTTGTAAGTGTACTTGTTTTAAAGTATTGAGTAAAGTATGAGTCACAGTATGCAGCATGACTAGAGTTGTTGTCAAGGTGTTGATTTTTTCCCACACTAAAAGGCTGTTATTTAATTTAGTTTCATTGTAGATTGCACTTAAAACTCTATCTAGATATTAGTGTCATATTTTTGTTATAATGGCTTTAGTGGACTGTGACTCGACAGGAAATTAAGTGCTGATCTGAAGCAGGTTAAAAGTTAATGTTGACGTATGAAAATATTTCTGCCAAGACAAAAGATGCAAATTTGCAGTCACCAGTCACCAGGTTTCCTCTCAAGAATTAGTGCAATAATCTTTGTGTAATCTTTCTGTAATAGTCCATAATATTTGTTTAATTGTTTTGGACTGTTTTCACATGTAATTGGTGCTTGTTCTGTGCATATTTCTTTCCTGATTCAGTAGCGATCGTTTAAAGTTAAAACATCTTAATGATGGATTTGTTTATTACAAACATGCAGCTTTTCACTTCATAAGATGGTAACTGATGGACTGGAGTGGTGTGGATTACTTGTGGATTAGTGTGATGTTTTTATCAGCTGTTTGGACTCTCCTTCTGACGGCACCCATTCACTGCAGAGGATCCATTAGTGAACAAGTGGGGTAATGCTACATTTCTCCAAATCTGTTCTGATGAAGAAACAAACTCATCTACATCTTGGATGGCCTGAGGGTGAGTAAATTTGCAGCAAATTGACATTTTTGGGTGAACTGTTCCTTTAAGCCAGCGGCAGTCACATCTACCTTTATTCTGATCCTGATGTTTCACTCCGAAAAACGTCACAATACTGTTGTAATGTTGGTTGCAACTTCTGTTTCATGCCAAGTTTAATGTGCTGGCACCTTCAAAAAACTATTATGGTGGTACCAGATCATACTATCATGGTACTGAATGATTACTATATTCATATACTATTGTATTTAGGTGATGGCCTAAAACAAATAATAATCTGGCCTACTCTGGTAGAGACTTGAATTTATTTGCATGCCATAAATTTGTAATGCCCAATTCCTTAATCTGATTCTTATGTAAACACTTTAATAAGATATGAATAATTTTTATTGTGTAGCCACAGCAGTGTTTTAATTGTATGGTAATGATTTAGTTAACATAATTGGCAGGTGAGAGTTTTAACATGCGCAGAACGTGTAATAAATTGTTGTAAATCTATAATAACGATCAATACCTGTCTTTTGTGGTTACACAGCTTTTATTTAAGTAAATAATGACACTTTTAGATTTGTTTCCAAATCAAAGACTCCTGATAGGTCACCTGGAAAAGGTAAGAGATTTATACAATCTTGTGTTGAAACGAGTTTCGGTTTATATCAGTGCATGACTCCAACAGACATAATAACATTGACAACATTCATACAAACAAACCAAGTACATGACAAAAAAATAACACCAACGTAAAAAAGGCAGAAAATTAAGTTCAAGCAGTAAAAAGTGCTAAATTTAACAAATACGTGCATTTTATATTGTGTAAGGCAACCAGGTCAAAATATGGCGTTCTATGAAAACTCTTACCATGTAATCAATTTCACTTATTTACAGTCATAATACTTATCAAAATATTGTTTATTTTCCGTAAAGTAAAAATAGGCTCTTTAAAGTCCATTCACATGTGACTTGAGTTTAAGGTCATAGAAAAACAGAATACCGGAACGTGATCTCTGAATGTTGTGTAGCTGAAACGGGTTAAATTCAGATCCAGATTCATCTAGTCAACATTCAGAAGATGCTTGTATGAAGCCTGTTGGTCTCTCTACGATTCGTTGTCACTCTTACGGTTGTTGCTCAGATTTGTCCTCTGCACTTCCAGCTCCTCTGCACTGACCATCTCTGGACTGATAGCAGCGTACCGTGTCCCATGAAACTGACGCAGGTGTATCTACGGAGTAAAAGCCGAGTAACAATGCAAATTAAGCCCCTGAAATCACATGATTGCATTGGTTTTAATCACTATTCACTGAAAATGTCAAGCTTAAAACTGGTCCTTATGTCTTTAAAACAGGCTGTCTTTATTCACTGAGAATCTAATTCCAAAAAGTCGTTAACTTTTGCAGTCTGATCATTGAGTCGTGAGTTTGTGAATCAAAAGAACAATTTATTCAAGAACTGATTTTTAGCAAATAACAAATTACTCTGTTTCTCACAAAAATCTATCATATGGCTAAGATTCAGACACAAGTCTGACTACTTGCTTCTTTTTGAACTTTTAAAGCTTTGGATTACTACAATTGCAGGAAGATGAGCATGTCAAATTTTCTTCATACATGTTACACAGAAGAAAGTCAGTTATTTGGGGTCGGAACAACATGAGGGTGAGTAAATAATGACAGTATTTAAATTTTTGGTTGAAACATTCCTTTCAACAATTTGAAACTCACTTGTATGTACAGGTTGACTTCTGCACTTCTGCACAGATATGGGAAGTTTCCTCCTGTTTTGAGGTGAGCTCTTCTAGCGTTGGGGTACAGCTTATACATTTCTTCCTTTGCCTCATGTGACAGGGCACTCTGATCAAAAACCTATGTGAAAATAAGGGCAAAATATTTTTTAAATGTTAAACTTGCATCTTATTTCTGTAACTTATCTAGAGTTCTAGAATCACAAAACATTATACAAAGTTTAGAATTAAGATTTTTTTTAATGATTTCAAAAAGTCTCATGTTCAATTTATTTTCCTAAAAAAATTGCAATAACGGTAATGTTGAGAGATATTGCTACAATTTTTATTTTTTTAATAGATTTTAAATGGGTCATATGATGCTATTTCAATTTTTCCTTTCTCTTTGGAGTGTTGCAAACTCTT